ATTTCATACTCTTTCTTTTAAAAATGTAAGATATTTTTTGAAAAGTTAAGTGATAAAAAATATAAGGCATTTTTTATTTTTTAAGATATAAATGTTATCTTTTTTAAAATATTTTTATTGAATAAATTATTTTATAATCATTTTAGGGTGAAATACCCTATCAAAAAAGGATAAATATAAAAAGATAAGATTAATTTAAAGATAAGTAATTATTTTATTGAAAGATAAAATTCAATTAAAAATACTCTATATGTTTTCAATGGAGGGATTAACTTTCTTAAAGTTTCTTCTCCCTAAATACTTTGGAAATAAAAATATATTACAAACCTTAAATAAGACTCAAGCAAGAGTTCCATATCACAGCATCATTAAAATCAACCGATGGTTTATTTCCGTCTTATAGGGAATATATATATATATATATATATATATATTTATTATTTTATTGTCTGAACAGGAGTAATAAATATAATAATAATAGGCTGCTCCGTCTGACGAATTTTTTTTGAAAAATATGGGATGGCTGCTACTAATTCTTTGAACGTTGTTCTGTCTTTATGCTTAACTAACAGTCTTGTTATTATTCAATGTGTGACAGGTAAATGTAATGTGTAGTTATCTTGTCTATATTATGTAAGACAACTTATGTTGTTAGATAACAAATTCATGCCAAAGTTATAATAATTGAATTCCAAATATCTTCCTTTCATTTTCTTAAAAAGAAAAAGAGATATGATTGTGTAAAACTATCAAAATGCGTTCCCCTTTGTAGAATCTCATAATAGCCCATCAATCCTCCTCTCCAACATGTTATCTTACCCAAAGAACTAGACGCACAGTTGACTTATTGTTCTAGGAGATATCAAATCAAAAATTATTTGCTGGCCCATAAGAAATTTCTTAAAAAATATTAATTGAGAAATATAGATAATTGAAAAATGTTTTGAATCAGATTTTAATTTCTTTTTTTAATTCATAGTTAGAATATTGTTTTTATTTTAAGATCTACATTTTCAAAAATTAAAAAAAATATACATGATGAAAATCCCTCAAACTAAATTGGTCAATAAAAATTCAGTTCACTTAATAAATCTCGTGCTCCAAAATAAAATTATGCTTTATTCTGGGGTCTTAAGATACAAGAATATAAAGTATTCGTACAAAGTAATCTAGGGAAAATATTAGTTAAGGATCCCTATGGTTTTTTAATAGCAAAAAAAGATCATATAATTATGAAATATCACTACACTTCTTTGGACTTCACTGAAAATAAGATTTAGAGGAAAAAGACCTGATTTCCTTTGTTAAGTGAATAGAAAACGTAGCTGAATGAATATTCACTTGTTAGTGATATATGGTTACTTGTCAATACTTGAATGGTTGCTTGTTTATTCAAAACTAATGCTTATATAATTAAATATGTTCTATTAGCTTTTCTAAATCACGTTGTTCAAGAATGAATGAGTAGTGTTTGTTACTTTTGTATGGTTATTTGTCAAAATTTGAATGGTTGCTTGTTTATCTATAACCAACACTTATACAATTGAACTTGTTTTATCATTATTAATAAGCAATCATTCCATTCAAGTATTGACAAACAACTATATGCAAGTAACAAGCAACTATTTGTTAATGAGCAATTTAAAAAAAAATAATAAAATATGTTTAACTATACAAATATCCATCTTTAATATATAAGCAACCTTTCAAGTTTCAACAAATAACCATGTATTAATAACAAGCACCCACTGGTTTATGAACAACTTAGAAAAACTGACAAGACATGTAATAATCATATAAGTATTAGTCATGAATAAACAAGCAATCATTCAGTTATTGACAAATAACCATACATTAGTAACAAATGGACATTCGTTTAGAGTTATGTTTCTTGTTCACTTAGCAGGGGCAATCAAGTCTTTCCCCCCTAAATCTTATTTTCAGTAAGTCTCAGGGGGTGCAGTGATATTTTAGAGTTATAGGGTCCTTCTTTGCTATTAAAAAGCTACAGGGGTCTAGGCGATATTTTCCTAATAATCTAATTAATTATTGTAGAGCTTGTGAATGAATCTTGACCCCTTTCTTTGTATATAGGGCAATAAGATAAAATGATCTAAATTATAATCGTAGAGATGAGTTATATAATGCTGTGTGTTTGCGTGGGGTGTGATGTGATTAAATTTGAAAGTTGAAATTGAAATGCCTATCAAGCTATGCTATCTTCCAGAAGGCAAAGGAGATATTTCACTCAAGTTTTACATTATGGTAGGTAGGTAGGATGTTGAAGTCTCATGGCATTAACATCAAGTTTAAAATGTCAAAGATTTGAATCGTCTCAAATGATATATATAACTAAGCACATCATATCTATTAAATATAATATAAATTATTTATAGAATTGTAAGACCTATTTAACTAACCTTTATAAGTACCTTTAAATTATATTTGGAGTGTGTTTTTATTAAATTCAAAAAATAGTTAAATCTCTCAAATATATTTTTACAAGATATAAATTGAAATTTAAATGAGCACGGTCAATTCGAAGGAGGGAAAATGTCCAATCTTCACTTCTCAATCATAATTGGTTGATCTTTTTTTTTTTTAAAAAAAAATACTATACTTAATCATGGGCTGAGAAGCCCAATTGACTTGATAAATTGGGCTTCAAGAAAAGCCTTGCACAATAAATTAGCTCACTTTTTTAAACATATTTCAATTTCGAGTTTTTGAATATTAGAACTCGTGGAACGGGGACCTCTCAAAAAACTTGTGCCATGCATTGACGCTATATTTGCTATTCGGTACAAAGTACGAATGAGAATGAGAATAAAAACAGGAATAAACATGAGAGAGAAGCTTTCTTAAAAGCTTATTTTTCCAGTACCACCAATTTTTAACATGCTAGACAGATATATTTAATTTTCCCTCTTCCCTTTCTATTATAGAAAGGACTTCTTCTATATTTGCTAAATGTAACCTAAGAGTGTTGATAACGTACAGAATTTCCAGCAACAATACTTCAATTTGGAGGAACGAAACCATGGATGCATTTCTCAAAGTCTTCACTTGAAGAAGACGATGAAAAGCTTCTGAAATTGGCTGCAGTTGAACACTTTTCCTTCTTCCAATTGTTTGAATAAAAACCTCATCAATCATGTCACCTTAATTTATAGATTGATGTAAAATCCATTTCTCTAATATTGGATTGCAAAAAAGACTGAGATTGATCATTTTGTTCAGGTAAAAATTAAAAATCTATTGATAGAGAAATAAAATAAAAGTATACTTTTCCTAACTAAATTTGTTTATGGAATGGGCCGAAGCCTACAATGAAGCAAAGACTAACAAAAAAGGTAATACTGGGTGTTGAGTTTAATGAAATAAATTAAGCTCCCATAACATTGCAAATTAAAATTTAAATTCTCACCAGCTATAAATATTTGTGCCCAACCATATCTTGAATACTATTACTTTCAAGATAAATTTTTAGATAGACCCATTGTGTCATATTATTTATAGTTTATCCAATAAAATACATGACATTCATATGTTATTAAATATAAATTATTTTTCACATTAATAATAGTGAAGAGAGAAAATATAGAACATTAAATACAAATTTTATTATAAAAATAAATTCATTAAAACTAATGAAACATAATATTTTATTTGATTAATAGTGAATTTTTTTTGAATGAATCATGAATGACATTAGGTTCATTTAAAAATTTCTCTTGCCTTCAATATAAGGACACCAAAGAATGATTTTTCAGAGGTTCATATTTATATACATATTTGGTAAGACACCACTCTATATTACTTTGATATTTTTTCTTTGACAACTCTGACCAATCTCTTGAACAATTTTTGCCTTTTATAATCCAATATTAGAGAGATCAATTTCACTAACCTGGCAAAAACGACTGGAACTATATATATATATATATATATGAAGATTGAGAAGTGGAGGCTCGTTTCAAAAGCTTTTCATAATCTCGCGTACACGTGAAGTCCTTGAGAAAATGTGCATGAGTTTAATCCTCCAAATTCAAGAGCTGCTTCCTCTTTGGGGATTGAGAGAAATTGATGTAACAGATCAAATAAATAGCAAGGAAACTTGAACATATTAACTCTTTGGAAAGGTGTGAACCATGTGATGTAGCTAAACAAAGGGAAATATTAATAATATGACTCTTTTTTGTTTTTTAAAAAATATTAATGAATAATGAAAGAGTATTTTGTAATTTGCCCTATAAGTAAAATCAGTTGGATCATTTTATTTTATTCTTTGGACAGCTCGAAATGGGTTTGGCGTCCTCTTGGATTAGAAGTCCAAACACGTGAATGTAGAAAAAACTTTCATAAGCCCACTTCAAGAGCCCAAAAAAAGGTTCGGGATGTAGAACAAAATTGACAAAAGTAACAAATAAAAATAAATTTCAATAATAAATATGGAAGTCAATGAAGACGATTTAATTTTTTTTTTGTTTTGTTTCCTCTTGTATTTTCCTGATATTGAATTCAATCAATTTTTCTTTTAAAGTCCAACAACTGTCTATTGATTTTTAATTATTAAAAATTCAATATTATGTGTTGTGGTTATTTTTACTTTATGCAAAAAAAATTTTACATATATAAATTTAAAATGTAAATTTTAAAAAATTCATATTTAAAATTGATCCATCCAAACACTATTTTACTATCTTTAAAACTATATTAATTAATTATAAATTGGCTATTTGATAGGACAGAATTCATTTTCACATGTATCCTACCTTTATTAATTTTGATAGAATTTGATTTCATGTCTATACTCATATAAGTAAGATGAGTTCTTTGAAACTGAAAATTTCATGTCTATACTTCAAAGTTATAAATTTTATTGATAACATTATTTTTTGCTTTAAATCAAAACAAGCCTTACCTGCACGGTAAAATCCCACTCCTTTATTGCCTTTAAAACTGTATTAATTGACTATGAGGCTAAAAAAACTCAAAAATACAATTGGATGACACTGTGAATAATATTGATTAAAATTTAAAGTTTATCGCCTCTGAAAGTTGAAGACTTTTATAGAAAAGGCAAAGATGAATGCAAAGAAGACAGTGAAGGCAACAACAACAACAGCAACAACTCCAACAAAATCATCTTTAAATCCAAAATAACTTTGAAGAAACTCATTTACTGCTACACCTCCCTCAATGGTCGACGTCACATCTCCATATTGCGAAGCCAATAATCCATACAAAGTCCACGCTACTGGACATGCCCAATAGTACCATCTCCACCACACCGGAATCCCCTGTTTCATTTCATGCTCATTCATTAGCATTTGACAAATGAGTCGCATTGTTTATAATATGGCTTATTAGAGTGTTTATATAATATATATATATATATATTGTACTTACGATTCTTGGGATGAGGAATCCTGAAAAGAGATTCCACACTGCATAAAATGCAGCAGCAACAATGGCAGCAACATGATGATTTGGAGTGACAGCTACAGTCATCATGCCATAAAATGTGAAGTATAGGAATGTGAAGTACATAAAGAAGAGATACCAAAAGAATTTTGCTACAGTCCAATCAAATCCCATCATGGCATATACTATCACACCATATGTTACAGCTTGTGCCAGAATATAAGGTAGCTCTATTGTAACCTGACAACACAAAACACAAGATTTCATACCTTAATAATAATATACAGTTCGATCATGCTACATAAAAATTGCATCTTTATTAAGATTGTTGTGTAGTCATTGATCAATTACTTGTGCAAATGCATAGGGAAATGCTGAGTACATTCCTGCAGCTTTTTCTCTATAAAATACAGTTCGTTCAATAGCCACCACTGGTTGCACTGAAGATGCATTTTGTATCCCAAGGAAGAGCACAGCATTGTACATTGAACCCATGGCATTATATAAATCTTGTTTCTTCTTTCTACAAGATTTAAAAAGGAAGGATAAGATTGAACATTGGCATGAAGAAGAAGGATGTAGTGCAGTTCAAAGAGGTTTGTGAAATGGAGCTTACATTTTGGATCCAAGATCCCAGAACATTGTTCCAAAGATCAAAGCTATAAAAGTCGTGAACAAGTGCCTTACTGCAGTATATGGAGGGTTTCTCCAGTATGACCAGTGTTGTTTCCATAAGCAAGCCATGCATTGCACCAAAAATGGTTGTGCATATTGTGTAGCAAAATAGAGCTCTTTTGAACCAGGAATAGGCTTGCTCAATTCTGCTATGAGTTCTTTATTCCTCCTAAAGTAAGCCATATAAATGATGCTTTTAGAATAGTCTCGCTTATTGAATAGTTAATTTATATTAAGCTAGGAATATGATTTACCTGTATAGTTCAGATTTTTTGTATAGATCTGAAAAATCAACACCTAAAACCATTTCTTGTGCTTGAGTTGTAACTTCTAACATCCAAGTTGCTGGGTTGTACCCATCTTTAATTTTATTAATCCCTTCAATCCCCTGGATATACAACCAAAGGTATAAATATTGCAGTATTAGTAAACAAGAAATATAATTTTTAATTGAAAGATTAAACTTAAAGGATGAGTGTACTTTTGCAGGTTTTGATGTTTAATGATGGGCTTAGTTTTAAGTGACAATTCTTTTTGAGTCAAATTTTAAAGTGTACTTATAGTAAAGCTTAATTTTAATATCTTATCGAGAAACTAATATGCATGATTTCAATGCAAGCTAAACTTGTCATAGCCCAAGAATAAGAACAAACACATTTTACCTCAAAATACTTGATGAGATGACGAGAATAACGACCTAATGGCCCAACATAAATTTCTTGTCCTCCTCGCTTCAATAATAAAAGCTGAAATAACATTTTTAATTTGTTAACATGAACCAAACATTATCAGTATAATTGATGATGAAACAAATTATGCATGGTGCATAATCTTTTTCTATCTTAGTCATTTTCTCACCTCATCAAAAGCTTCAAATATGTCAATGCTTGGTTGGTGAATGGTACAAACTACTGTTCTTCCTGTATCTACTGTATTTCTAACTGTTCTCATAACAATTGCAGCAGCTCTTGCATCTAATCCTGAAGTAGGCTCATCCATAAAAATTATTGATGGATTAGCCACTAGCTCAACAGCTATGGTTAGTCTTTTGCGCTGTTCAGTAGAGAGACCACTTTCACCAGGTAAACCAACCAAAGATCTCCTTAATGGGTTCAATTCCACTAGTTCCATCACTTCCTCAATAAACATCTGTAAAGATTTATAAGAACCAAGAAAAAACATTATCAACCTTGAGCTCCAAACTAAACATACTGACACATTAAACTTTAAGTATTCAAATGCAAACCTTTCTACTTTTGGAATCAACTTCATGTGACAAACGAAGCCATGCTGAGTAAAGTAAGGATTCATAAACTGTGACATGAGGAGAGTGAATATCATTCTGCTCACAATAACCTGAGATTCGAGCAAAAGTTTCTTGCTTTTTGGGATATCCTGAAATAGTTATGTTGCCTTCAATATATCCACCAGTTTTCCTACCCGCTAGAACATCCATTAAAGTTGTTTTTCCTGCTCCACTCACACCCATCAGAGCTGTGAGAACACCTGGCCTAAATGCTCCACTAACACCTCTTAGAAGCACTAGTTTGTCCTCAACTACACCTTGCATCTTCATCTCCTGCAAGTTTAAATAAATAGAGTAAGTGTCTTTTCAACCAGGACAATATATTATTTATCTCCATTAATGTAGTTCTCATGTCAATAAAAAGTTAACAAAAATCACTAGTTACCTGAGGCATGTCAACAGAGTAAGTAATTTCATCAAAGGTGATTGAATGTGGTTCAAATGGAAGAACCATTCCTCTTTTCCTATTTTGGCTTGAATTAACCATTCCTTCTGACATTACTGATGTAGACCTTGAAGAGGCACTCTCTTTATCATCCATGCTACCTGTAATATGGTCATAATATATAATACTCAAGAACATTTACAATAACTAAACTCCAATCCATGCTTACAATATAGCTTTTTTATTCATTATTATCAAAAGGCATAATATAGCTTTTGAAAGCAGAACACATATGCCAATTTTGTTTGGTGCACCTTGTCTACTTGTTAACTCAATACTTTCTTGATCTTTGTCAGGAGATTCTTCAGGTATTACAGCTTGTGGCTTCTCAAATGCTGCTCATTTACATGTTTACATGTCAATAGTACAATTCAAAGCATCATCATAAGAACAATTGCAAAGATAGATACTCACGACTGAGAAATGTGAGTGCTAGAGTGAAAGTAATATTGAGTAAAAGTATAAATCCAATCAATGCTCCAACACCTATCCAGTACCAATATGCATGTGTGAAGAACCCACGAGACTTGAGAATTACAACTCCCAGTGGCTCAGATGAACCTGAGACGACCTTTCATTGCAAACATAGAAAATTTATCAATTTATTAGGGACTATAGTAAGGCTTTCATTTAAAAGAAAAGAAAATTTTTTATTGATGGGTGATGGAAGAAATTACATGGTTCCAACTATGCCCAAGGAACTCATTAACCATTATAGCATTCTGGCCATACATCATAGGTGAAATCCAATAACCCCATATCCACCATTTCTTGATATCCTCTGTTGGAGAGGAAACCAAAGAAAGAAGCATTATGCAATGTCCAAATTCAATCACTTGGAGTTTCAAGATCTTGTAATATATATTTTAATCTATAAATTATTCATATCCTACCTCTTGACAAGATGAAGCCTCCCAATGTTAGAAGAGTGACTATTGCAAATGCTCCAAATGTATTTGCAATTATCATGTTTCTACTTGTTGCTGCAATTGTTCTGAACATTGCAGAAGCTAATTGTCCAAGTACAAATAGTAGAAAGCATTGCTTGAAAAACCTACATGAACACCAAGTTTCTATTATTTCAACAATCATTTTAAATAAAATTCTCAATATTATCACACTAATTCACCTTTAGCCCCTAAAAGTTGATGGGTGCTTAAGTTATTTAAGCAACCAAGAAACAATAAAAGGGTTAACTTTTTACCTGCCAGCATTCGAGTCAAATCCAATAACATAATAGGTTAGGCCAACCCAAACAATAGCTTCAACCAGTAATTGGGATCTTGAGGATCCAACCAGGAATAGCATATGCCCATGCAGGATAGAAAAAGAGGTCTCGTTGCTTGTAGAAAACAGGAAGCTTCCCAATAGTCATAGACATCTCAGACATCCCATTGAACATTAACATTACAATAGCAAAAAACAAAGCTCCAACATAAAATCCTCCTTGGTCCACTGAATCCTTGTGCATCTCAGTTCGTAGGAATACTGTCATTGCTATTATTGCCATTATTGAAAGCTAAAAGCCAAAAAAAGGAGGAATCAAACCCCAATTCACATGATTGTATATTTCGTTTTGTCTAAATTGATGTGTAGGAATTGAAAGAGTGAATGAGTTGAACATAGCTGCTTACCTGGCATAGCTTGAATATGTAGACAAATGAGTTCCTTTTCATAAGCAAGAACTCTCTTGAGAAATTAACTTTGAGCAATTCCATCTTGCTAATACCATATTTCTTGGTTGTTAAAGCAGCTGGATGGTTCTTGGCCTTATCAAATGGAACAGAAAGCTCATCTCCAATTTTTCTACCCACATGAAATGATTGAAATGCCTCAGCAAATTCAGTCACTGTCACAAAACTGTATGGCTCATCTCTATGCATCCAATACTGCTCTTGATCCTTCTTTGAAGTAACCTACAAAAACAAATAAATATGATTTGAAAATATGAGTTATATTTAGTTTCATGGATCAAAGGTAAAGAGTGGCTTACTTCTTGAAGGAAGTCAGCAACACCTTTCCTCTCAGGACATTTAAAACCCATATGCTCAAAAAACTCAAGGACATGTTCACGTGGTCCTTGGTACACAATTTGGCCATCAGAGAGAAGAATAATGTCATCAAAAAGCTCATAAGCCTCAGGTGCAGGCTGTAGCAAAGAGATAAGTGCAGTTCCATTCATAATGTGAACAATTTGCCTTAGACATTTCACAATTTGAAAAGTTGTAGAACTATCTAAGCCTGTGGATATTTCGTCCATGAACATTGCATTTGCTGGTCCAACCATCATCTCTCCTGTATCCATATCAACAATAATGCAATTTACAAATCTTAGGTTTTGATTTAGAAAATCATAATATAATCATAATATACACACGTTATTTCAAGGTTGAGCTTTCTCTTCAAGTTTTATGGTCTTTTAAGTATCCAGATGAACATAAAGAAGGCCTACTTTGTATACACTACTTCGCATGTACCTGAACGGGCCAGGACCATTATTCCATCTGAAGAGAATCCAAACTTGTTATTATGATGCTAAATCAAAACATTTATGGTGTACACGACAATTTCTTGTGCTAGTTACAGGTTTAAGGTTTGATCAAAAAATGAGGTCAGGTTTAAGGTTTGGGACAAGGAAATTGAATAATTTGACCTGTAGTAACACGTTTCCGTTGTCCGCCAGAGATGCCACGTAACATTTGATCTCCAACCATAGTATCAGCACAAATTTCCAGCCCCAAAATCTACAAAATTATTATAAAGTAAATACCTTGTTTTGCTAATTGCTATTTATCGAGGACATTAATATTCAAATTAAACTTTCTGTAAAACAATAACACTTCGTTGGTATTGTACCTTAAGTACATACTCAGTCATCATCTCGTTTGCCTCCTGGCCTTTAGAGGCAGTTGCCTGGCATATTAGGACTTAGAATTATTTTAGTGACTATGTAATTGAAAGAGAGAATATATGTAAAATATTAAAAGTTCTAAGCTAAATATAGTTGAGTCAACAATATACATACATCACGTAAGATGCATTATTATACATCAGTAGGTCCCATCAAATTAATGTTCATATTTATTGGCATAGATATAATAATGGTAGGTACCACATACCTTTATTGAGTTTGAAAAGAACAGAGAGAGAAATGTATCTAAAATCTCAAAGGTTAGACTTATTTGCAAAAGTTGAGGTTATGGGAAATTTTAAGAAAGTCAGAGGTAAATTTTAGAAAATTTACTGTAATTAATGAGAAGAAAAGAGATGAGATAAGTTTTATCAATATGAGATGAAACGAACAGAGACAAAATAAGACTGATCCATACATTATTTAATATATTTATTATCGATAACGATATTTTAACATGTGGGTCCCATAGAGATAATTTTTTCCCTTGAAAAATTATATCTCCTAATCAACCTGGGGTAGATTAGTGACGTCAACAAAACGATATGCCTGCGTTGCACAAACCATTATTTTTTATTTATTTGGAAAAGCATTAATAAGCTCTTACTGTAACATTGAGATTACTTTTGTGCATAGTACAAACTATAAAATCCATTCTTAACATATATATATATATATATATAGATGTATATATACACATAAAAATTAAAAGTTTTAGGACTTGACCTTCATGTAGATATCAATATCTGGATCAGGCTTAATATTTGCTTCTATCTCTCTTCTTGATAGCTCAGCAAGCAAGTCTGTAACATTATAATAATGCCAATTTGTGAAGAAGCAAGATTAAATCCTTAATTAGTAGATTAAGAACAAGAAATTAAAAGAGAAAGCGATATATATATATATATATATAACCCAGAAAGAAAAAGACATAAAAAAAGGGCAAAAAGCTATTAATTGACTAACCATAACGTGATCCTACCCCTTGGCACTTGCAGAAAAAGCCAAGGTTTCTCTTACTGTCATTTCTCCAATATGTACATCGTTTTGACTTATATAAGCTGCTGTTCTTTGAGCTACAAACTCATTCATTTCATGTCCATTATAACTCACTTTCCCTGAAACCTACAGGATTCATATTAAATCTAAATTATTGATTAATAATTAATTAAGATGATCTGATTAAATCAGTTACATAGTTTTTACCTCAAGGTCCGGATCCAGTTTTCCCGCAAGAGCCAAAAGGAGTGTGGTTTTTCCAGAACTTGGAGGACCCAAAAGTAGTGTCATCCTTAAAAAAACATAAAGAGGGAAATCTCAATTATTACGAGACACACAAATATGAATAAAATAACATGAAATAATAACTTTGGAGCCTGCCTAATTCTCAGTTCTCACCTACGTGGTCTCACAATTCCATTAACTTTTTTAAGGATATTCATATGCTTCTTTTTGCTTGGAAGAATATGGAGACAATTCAAGCAATTCTGGATGATCAAAAGATACAAGTTTTCAGAATAATTATAATATTATATATATATATATATATATATCAAACACCTCCACCAACCCCAAAATATTAAAACATTTACATGTATGTGTAAATTTACCTCAAATATATTGATCACGAAGTTGAAGAATGTCGGCATCGCTCTACTTCCAACATAAGCCTCTGCCTCGACGTTCAAAAGCTCAAACCGAACTTCGATTGTCGGAATCTCAATCCCAACTCTTCAGAAAACAAAAATAAATAAATCTGTAAGAAATAATAAATAATTTAAACTGGAAGAGAAGATTAATTATTACCGATCAATTCTTTCCCTGAGTTTCAACAAAAACTTCTCATTGTCTTCTTCAGCAACCTTAACCAATCTCTCGAGCAGTTTCTTTCTTTCTTGTAATCCAATATCAGAGACATCGATTTCATTGATCTCTCCGTGTGAAGAGGTCAACAAGCCTTTCCTTAAACGACTATAAGTAGGAAGCCTCTCAAGTGCAGCCCATTTGAGAGCCTCTTCGTCGTCGTCGTCGTCGTCTACTCTGTGCGAAGACCTCGAAAAAGCGTCCATGGACGTGTTCCTCCATGCTGAAGAACTGCTTGCTCGTAACAAACTGCTACTGGCTTTGTAAATATCACCACCCTCCATTATTATTATTATTATTGTAGCTAGCCAGCCAAACAAGTCTCAACTATTCCAGTGAAACAGAAGATGGTGTGTGTATGTGTAAATATAGAAAATTTATGGAACTGAACAGCTAAGAAAGCTGAAACAAACTCTTGTGATGAGAAAGGTTTTCTTTATTTTTTTTGCTACAAGGGAGTAAAAACCTCGAATTTTCATGAGATTTGAAAAGTGGAGAGTTTTAAGGATAAGATGACAGAGAAGGCAAGACAGGATTTGGTAAGGTTCACACAAATTTGTGGACCCTATGATGATGGCTAAATATAGGTTCTTGCATTAGCAGGAGTTATGACTCTTTTTCGTACACAAAGAAGATGAATATAAGCTTTTGCAGCTGAACTATGTATGTATATGTGTATGTATTTGTTATGATTCATGCTGCTATTTACAAGTTGACCTTGTCCTCCTATAAAATAAAAGAGAAAATGTGACGAATATGCTCATAATCCTCAAGTTCAGTAATCAACTAATGGAGGAAAAAAGTGAATAATAATAAAAAAATTGTGGAAAGAGATTATTCACGGAGATATGAAATCTATCTATAAATTATCTCCCAGATTATTTATATAGTATAGATTAATTGTTATGAATATTGATTATTATTGATTATTATCGCCTATCGCCGCCATGTAACATTTTCGTTAAAAATTATTATTATTATTATTATTCGTTACAATTTTATTTTAATTTCATCTATCTTGTAATAATTATTAATTCTAAAATTAATTTAATGATGATTAATTAGTGGTCAAGAATGAGATTGAGATGTTTTACAATTTATTAAGGCTTTTTCAAAAGATATATAGATAATAATATTAGGAAAGGTTTAAAATTATTGAAGTGAATTGGTTTGTTTTTAGGGCGAATAAATTGGTCAGTTGTTATATTAAATGTGAAAGGTATATAAATCGGCTACATACGAAAAAATTGAGTGCTACACTATACAATTTATATAAAAATTAAGATTAATTCATACATATGATGCGACACGTATTTTTTACAAAAAAGAAAAAGTAATTTCCCCCTTTGTGTACACAAGACTAAGAATTGGTGTATTAGTTATTTAATAAAATTTTAAGATGCTTTTCTTGTTTTGTTTTAACGGGAACAAAAAAAGGTTCAATGGATAAATAGTGATCATGATTCATGAATCATGACATGATGGACTGACTAACGATGATTAAATATAATTAAGAACTCTTTTAAAGCAATTTAATAGTGATCCCATTTTTCTATCTGTGCATTTAATTATGGGAGAATTTCAACTGTCCAGTATTTTACGTTTAGAAAAAATATAATGAAAAAAGAAATGTATATAAATATATTTTACCTAATTTTATCTATATTTTTTCTAATATTGATTGATTCTCTCTTAGCATGACTCACGTTTTTTCCCCCTAAAACGATCTGTTGTCAAAACAAGGATTCTGGTTTAGGATTAATGTTGGACCAAATTGTGAATATAATGAGCAACACATAAAAAGTGATGCAAGAATGAAATGTTTCAACCTTTTGGGTTGGTCATGGAGGGCATGGCAAGAAAATTTTGTTTGGATGAGTTGTGTGTCAAAAGCTTACTAGAGTTAGGGTATGGCTCTAGATATATGAAGTATTTATAAATTATCTACCAATAAGATCAGTAATGGACTTTAAATTTATGACTTTATAAATTATTTGCCAACAAGATCGGCAATGGACTTTAAATTCATGACTTTATAAATTATCAATTAAATTTTTACTAATTGGATCAATCTTTATTACTTGACTATGTAAATGCATTTTACTCTCACAATATTCCCCCAATCTTTGTCTACTCTTCGACCAAAAAAAAAATTCTTTGTTTGCTCATTTCCATTCTTCTATACTCCACCTCGTTGACAATATTTAAAGATTATGAATTTATTGACTTTCAAGTTTTGTATATAGGATTCGTTTTAATTATATATATCAAGCATGGTTTAGTTGGACTAAATGATAATATTTGAACATTTTATACTAAGATCTCCCTCATATAATTGCATCGATGAAAGCTTTGTGGTAGTTGAATATTATAGCAAAATTAATCTAGAGACTTTTTTTTAATATTCTGACTTTTTTTAATTTCAATACATTTTTTATGTTTTGGTTGAACTTTTAATAACTTTTATGTTATGTATGGATGCATGTGGATTTGAATTTGAACCAAATACATTATTTGGGTAATTAAAAATGTGTGAATTTAGATTTAACTCAAATTTAAATTCCAATCCTACCTTAATTTCTTTGTAATTTCAAATCCTTTCTAACCCTCTGTTATTTCAAATTTTCATGTAAGCCTCTCTCTTCCTTTGTGTTTGTTTGTTGACTTCGATAACTTCTTGACTCTAACATCGCTGCCTCTGGTTGGCTTCCACTGGGATCATATTGTTAGCATCGATTGAGACTAGATGACTAGCTTCAACATAGACCAAACCATAGTCGACAACCAAGACTAGAATGTTAATGCCAAGTGGGACTAGATTGCCGGCATCAACTAGGACCTAACGATCGATGCTAACAGGGACCAGACTATTGGCATCGATTGAGATTGGACTGCTGGAGCCTACCATGACCTGACCACTAGCAATGATCAAGACCAAACAATTGACACCAACTAAGACTTAACCACAACACCAATTGAGATCGAACGGAAGACTTTGACTTAGACCTGATTGCCAATGTCGACTGAGACCAAACGGCCAACTTTAACTAAGATCAGACCATTAACATCAATCAAGTTTAGGAGTTTCAAACTTCAATAAACTTTCAACAACCCTCCTCAACTACTTAATGCCAGCTTTTTACTGTCATCGTCATTCAAAGTCAATCCAGTGCTGTAATCTAGTATCGGTTTGCTACCATCATTTGGTGCTAGTCTGTCGCATCCAATTGGTGTTGCTCTATTGTTGCTGTCTCATTCAAGATTGGTCTATGACCACTATCTTCAATCTGTCCGCCTTCATTGTCCGATGTCAAATGCTGTTGTTAATATGAAATGGTCTGATGTCATCATCCAGGTATAATCCGCAACCCTCAGACTATTGTAATCATCTTGTGCTAAAATATAGGCGTTGTTTGGGATTGGACTATTGATATTGACCAAGACTGGACTGTCATTGGTGATTGAGATTGGACCACTGATGCAGTCCAGGTTAAGATAGCTGGAGTTAATCAAGACTAGATCAATAACTTTTATTAATATCGAGCCGCCAACATTGTCCAAGTTGCCTTTAAATTCAAGCATAAAATTTGAAATTTGAAATTTTTTTATTTAAGATCCAAATAAAGGGTTTTAATATTATAATTTGAAATTTTTTATGTTATATAAATAAAGAATTTAGAACTTATAAATTTCAAATGTAAGATTTCAAATCCAAATTCTCAAGCATTAATAAGCATTGATTTTGGTAGGAGGAATCATGATAACTCAAGCATGAAGTCTTATGTTCAAATTCATATAGATGCAAACCTATTTTAGAGAATTATTCTTATATTTGGATTAAAATTCCACTATGGATATAAATTAAAGTTGTTGTTTGAGACATTAGACAACCTGCCTTAAGTTTACATTATGTTTGGATGCATATGAATTTGAATTTGAGTTAAATTCATTGTTTGGGTAATCAAAAATTTGTCCATTTAGATTTGACCCAAATCCAAACCTACCTCAATCTCTTTGTAATTAAAAATTCTTTTCAAATTCTTATTATTTCAAATTTCTATTTTAGTATCTTTCTTCCTTCACGTTCGTTTATCGACTTCATTACCTTCTCGACTTTGACTTCGTTGCCTCCAGCTGACTTTCACTGAGAACCAACTAGCATTGGACGACCGGCTTTGACTAAGATTGGATAACTGACTTCTATTAAGACCAAATCATCGACATTGACTAAGATCAAACAACTGACTTCCACAGGATAGGAAAGAAAACTTCAACTAGGATTAGATGACTGATGCCAATTGAGACCACACAACCAACTTCCATCGGGATCAAATGACAAACTTTGACTGGGATTAGTTCGTTAGTGCTGACTAGGATCAGATGACTAACTATATAAGGACTAGATTGACAGCATCGATTGGGACCAAGTGCCTACACCAACCAAGACTAGAAGGTTGATTTTCACTAGGACTAGACCGCCGATACCAACTGAGACAAAATGACCAATTACAACCAAGATTGAACCGTTAACGCCAATTAGGATTAGACTAGAGAATTAGACTAGGATAAGATCACTGGCATCAATTAAGGCTAGATGGCCAACTTTCATTGGGATCGAACCATTAGTATTGATTAGGACTAGACGGCCAACTGCAATTGGGATCGAATTGTTAGTGTTGATTGAGAGTAGATTGGTGAATTTAACTAGGATCGAATTGGTTAGGACTGAACAGTTAACTTCAATCGAGACCAGACCATCAACACCAATGATCCAAGCCTAGTAAGTGTTGACAGTCCCATCTCAATGGTAGTCCATCATCTAGTCTCGGTTGGTGCCTTTAGTTTGGGCCAAGTGGAAGCCAACCATTTGATCTAGGTTAGCGTTCATGGTCAGGTCCCAGTTGAAGCTAGCAATTCGGTTCCTATCGTCCAAACATAAAATTTAAAATTTAGAATTTTACTTAAAATTTAAATAAAGAATTTTAATATTATAATATAAAATTTTTTATATCATCCAAACAAAGAATTTATAATTTATGAATTTCAAATATGAAAATTCAAATTTAAATTCTCCAACCCAAATCCTCCCATCCAAACATGAACTTAGATTATTTTAACATAGAATCAAATTAACCATAAGTCAAGTTGTTATTATTATTATCTTGGATGTTAATGCTCTTCTACATTTATTTCTAGCTATTATTATTATTTTTGTAAGTTTAGTTCGTTTTTACTATGAATAAGTCAAGTCAATGATAAAGTACTATAATTAATTAATAATTTCTTAATTTTAATTAAGATTTTGAATGCATGTATTCAAATTTATACTCATGAGTACAATTATGCCTACGTAAGTACAACAATTAGTCATATATATGGTTTTATTCCCCTCCTTCTTGTAGTCATAGAAAACATGAGAGTTAGAAATTAGTGTCACCACGTAAGTCAAATGCTATTATATCATCCCTTGTCTTAGTTAAGATGTGATATGCTATGACCCTTTAATCTCATTGGTGTCATATTCATCTCCTTTCTTTTCTTTTTTCCCCTTACAATTATTATATTTGATGTTTGATAATACTAGGTCGAATCTAAATATTGTTAGCCACAATATTTGGTATTTTATAGTCATCTCCCAATATAATTAATCGATTTGTTCTGCACAAATTTCAAATCTTTAACTTTATATATAAATAACTAAGTTCATTATACTCAATGCAATTACCATTATTATAGATTTTTATTTCTCTACTAATGTTGATCGTTCACAACATTGATATCATGTTTTTGTAAATTTTCAGTGTAACAATAAATCACTACCAACAAAAAGCTTTTTTTTAACTCCGGTTAATAATGACTTTCACACCTATTATAGAACTAGTGTGCAGAATCAACCCATGTATCCACTTTTGACACTATTAATAAATTTATTCACATAGGTGTGAAATGTATATATACTTTTCACACCAACTGTAACTATAACTGAAATGAAAAGTGTACATTTCACGCTAGTTACAAAGAAAATTGGTATGGATAGTTAGTCATTTTTAAAAAAAAAATTATGGGATCAGTTTTTACACCGGGTGCAAAGACATCGGCGCAAATTTTTTTTTTTTCACATTAGATCCTTACCTAACCGGTGTAGAATGTCAATTGAATTCTCTAGTATTTATTAAAATGTCATCATCTCTTCTTTCTACAATACTGTGTTTTTTTAACTCTTTAAAACATAGATGTAAAAACATATATATTTATGGTAGTGAATTATATATAAATTTATTTTATAATATAAAAAATCATACTATAATTTAAAGATGTGGTTGATTATTTTAATAACTATAATAATAATTCATTTCCATATTTATTTCAATTAATGACTTTTAATTTTTAAATCGTTAACTACTAATACTATAAAATATGAGTCTAGCTATACGTATATTCTTTCTGGCAAGGTTTCGTGTTAGACTACTTCACTATGACAAATTAAAGTTTTTGCTTTAAGCGAAAAATGCAAATGGGACGTGTTCAAGTATGAAAACCAATAGAAAAGTTAGATTAACTAAAACTCTGACAATCAGAGTCAAGAAAATCGTGCAAGACAAAACAAAGCGATGATCTCATCCAAAGATAAATATAAGACCATCTTACAATAATGTGATGCAGTTGTTTAAGTCATTTTCTTTGAAATTTTCTGAAACTCTTCAACATGCAACCAGTGATCATATCCTCTTGATAAATAAATTTAAACTAACATGTTACATTACACTAGAAAAAAAAATTCAATAACCAATTCAAGTTAACATGAGTTGCAGGAATTCTCATCATTAAAATAAATGGTTGAAATTCATATTAGTAATTAATTGAAAGAGATCTATCATTTGCCCTCAGTCTATAACAAATAAAAATATCAATTGGTGTTTATTCTAGTGAAAAGACTATAACCCTTGAAGCACAAAATCTTGAGTTGTGCTTCTGTGAATATAGAAAACACCTTTGAAAAGTTATCCTTAGTTGGACCCAACAGTGCATCAATGTCACTTAGTCTCTGATAATTATATAAAAAATTAAAACAAAATAAGTAACTTGCTAGGATGTCTCTAGAACATATAATATTGGTTTTTTTTTGTTATAATTATTCAATATCTAGTACTATCAAATCTAATTAGATATATTGTACGTTAAACTCAATTAAAGGTAACTCTTCCAAGTTTCATCATAATTACATATTTTTATCCACAGGATTGGAACATTAACTTAATTAAAATCGAACCATGATCCCTTTCACATAACTTAACTATAATATTCACTCTAATAATATCATGTTATCAAGTATCAACTTTTTGCCGAGATGGAGTTGAAACTTGAAAATATAACAGGTACTCCAATGAATTATTATGAACAGGTAAATGTATACATGTATATACATGTGATCTGGTGGTTTAGACATATAAGTGTAATATTATGAGGTTGTTAACGTATACGTGTACCTAATTCTTCACACACACATATTGTGATTCTAGAAGCTATTTTATTCAGATTCAAATTTGAGAAAAATTAAGTGGTTGGGGAAAAAAAAACGATGGTGATAGAATCGAATTAAGAGAGGAAAACCATTACGTGTCAGAATTGAAAATTGACGTAATACAGAAACTGGCCGGTGTCACATGCATTTGATTGGCTACCCAGAAAACCACATGAATTTCAATATCTTTTCAACAAATTGATAAGAAAGGTTTGAAATTTTATTTTCCGCAAGAAGAAAACGGCTGAAAATGACTAAAAGCTATATGTATGTATATGTGGCTAGCTAGGAACATACGCCTTTGTCTCCTGGACCATGCATGTGTGATGTGATTAGAAAACAATGACAATAAATAAAATAGTAATTTAATTGAGGAGTACTTAATTTGAATTAAAGCATTCCTCATTTGTAGCTCATTTAGGTAAGTACTTAAAAATATTTAATTATTTATCTTAAAAAAATAAAAAAAATACTTATTTTATTGAAATATAATTAAAATCATCCCCTTACATAAACAAGATTATGTTGGTTTCATCTGGCGCTCAACATGGTGAAGAGATATGGACCATCAGATTTTAATATGGATTGTCCAAACTTAAAAAATTAATTTTATATTTTTAAATAAAAATTTCAAAAAATTATAAAAAAAAATTAATAAATATTTTCATGACTAATCTAGTTTAGATTTAATATGAGGGTCAAATTTAATATTAAAATTTTTATATTTTTTTATATATTAACTATCCAGATATATCTGCATAGTCTAAACTTAATATTAAATTTTTTATAAATTTTATAAATTTTTATTTTCATAAATGCAATATTAAAAATTAAAATTATAATCTCCTAACTATAACTTTTTTAAGGTCTTGATTTATCATTAATTTCTTATAAGGTCTTTAATTATTATTCTCCCTACAATTTTATTTGTTAACTAATTTAAAAACGTTGCGTAATGATGGAAGGAAAAATCCCGCATTTCGAGTGAATAAGTAAAAAATCACTCTTGCATTAAATTATAAACCACAGTTTTAAAGGCCCAAATTGAAAAATGGGTCTATATATAGATAGTCATGCTCTCTCCATACTTTGTTGTTGGGCCTATTCAAGTTCAAATATCCACAAATGTTGTTTAGGCCAGACAATGTCCACAAAAGTTGAGACAGAGAATATTACATGCCCATGGATTGACCAAAAATAACATCATGTACAGATGTCATTGAGGCTGCTTCTTCATCACCTTTTTTTTTTTTTTTTGAGACCATTTCATCACCCAAATTAGGAATAACAAAATAAAAAAAATTAGGTTGATTCTTATTGTTGGTGCCCCGCAAACAAGAGGAATTCAAACTTGAAAAAGAAAGAAAGTGACCAGAGATATTACGAATATTTGCCTTATAGCTTTACCCCACTAATAATGATCAATCAAGCAACAAAAAGTTACCGTCAATCAAATCTGAGTCTGAGTAATATCCAAATTTTGTAGATCCATGGGACACCAACCTTACAAATTTAGATTTCCCTTTTTAGGTGTACTTTGAACTAAAAGGAGCTTTTTAATGCCCTTTTTTTGGGGGGGGGGGGGCTGTGACCCTAAAATTTTGCTTCATAATTTGTCTCCCACATCATTTTCTATGTTTGTTTTTTGACCTCAAACTTGACATTATCTACCTAATACCCTACACTTTAACTTTCTTTAATCATAGTTATTTTTCTTTACTTTTTCTTATTGTCAATTTAGCTTCTGTTTGAATCAATTTCACCGCCCCTCAATCGTTTCAATTGTTAGGTATCTTTTTGAAATTAAATAATTCATTGCCTAAACTATTTTGATGATGCTTCCAATCTGTAAATAATATCATTATTTCCAAAATTAAATCAAATAACTAAACTTCTAGACAATACAAAAAAAAATTGCATCTTTAAATATTTTCGGGGTCGAAGATATTTTTTTAAAATTCTTAAAAAGTAAATTTAGTGCAAAATCTGATCTGGGCGTAATCATGGTCACTGAACACTTTTTATCAACATATTTATTATTTATTTGTTTTTTCAATTTAAGTGGGCCCTGTGGGGTCACATATCCTCCATCCCTTGTAGCCGTTACCCAGCTTGAGCATGACACTCCCGTCTTTCGCTTTGAATCTGTTAATTGCTTTGATTGAAAACCATTTCAAATTAATTCAACTCGACCGTTAGTTCTTCGTCAACAAAACACGCTCTCCTCCAATTCACACTCTCTGCGTCTCTCAACCACAACTACGTTACAGATCGACAAGCACCACCGAGACGATGGCCGACGATTATGTGTTCACGCCAGAGGAAATGGCCGTCAACGAGAACCTTGGGTACCCAAAAGCCTACGCTCAGCTCTGCCGTGATCAGTGTGTCAGTCCCTACAGCCATGGCCCTCCGTTCATCTTCACACCATACGCTCTGGAAGAAGACGAGGTAAGAAAATTGATTTCATTTGTGGATCAGCATCAGATATATGTGTGTGTGTATATATATATATATATTCTGTATGATTGTAATGTAATCTTGCTCTTTGAGATGATAATTAGGCTGCGAGGGCTAGGGATTTAGATATGATGTTCCCAATAATTGACCCGAAAGCGAAGCCAACTGCGAAGCCAAAGATTTTTATCAGCATTTTATGGAAGCAGCTCAGCCATTTGGGGTAAGATCTGTAACTTAGCTTTCTCCTGAGCATGAAAGGGAATTTAGGGTTTCAATTGGTGACTCTGAAAGTTTGTAAATTTGCAAAATCTCAGGAATGCTGGGTTTGATCCTGCTGTAATTCGAGTGGATCCTTATGGCAATGTCCTGTATTATCATGCTGATTCAGCCTCTCCTCTTGCTTGGGAAATCGATCACTGGTTTCCTTGTTCAAGTAATCTCTCTCTCTCTCTCTGAGAACGTGCGTAAAAGGGGCAATATCTTAATTTTGATTTGCTGGGTTAAACGAATATGCAGGGGGAGGATTGACTGTTTTGAGCAATCTGAGGATATTGCAGAGGCAAGCCTGCAAGAAGAAGAAGAATAAGCTGGAATTCTTAATTCCATGGTGGGATTTCCAGTTGGGTCTTTCTGTGAATCAATTCCTCTCCATTTTTGCTTCTTCAAATTCAGACTTCAGGTAGGTAATTCATTTCTTTTAATTGTCCGTCTTTATTGTAATGTGCTTAAATTATTATGAATTTCACTCCATTTTAATTTGTTCTCTCTGTTTTAAAGAGGCTTGTAACTAGATTCATGTAATACTAAGATGATCTTTAATCTGTTGCTTGTCATTAAGCTTTCATTAGTCTAGTTCATTAGTTCTTTATGCTTTAATTCATTAGTTTGCTGCTAGGTAGATGATTGAGTAAAAATCACTTGTGTTTGTGATTTTAGTTTCTATAGTATGAACTGTGCATATTCGAAACTTTGAAATGACAGATCAGATAATTGACCAAGTCAATGTAGTTAATGACCCTAAAGAAAATTTTAATCATAACAAGGATCACAGGGCACAATTTTTTTAGACTCTAGACAAATTTTAAACTATAAAACTAGAATGAGACTATATAATAGCCAACAAAACCATTTAACCTTCTAGTTATTAATAAAATCAGGAAATTAAATGGTGGTAAGTGACAATATCTCTATTTTCAAACCACAGGCACAGGGCATTCTCATATTTATTCTCTGATGGAGAAAATGAAGAACTGAATGCTTCTCAAATAGTGGATTCTCATTCTTTTCCGCAGCATTTCATTGGATTGAAAGAAGAAATTGGGCTTGCCCCAGCTGCAATAGTGGAATCTCGAAGGGAATCTTTTGATAAATTTGCTTTGAAGCAACTGGATTATAACCGAAAGCCAAGGCCTATGTCTCCTGCAATTGGTTAGTGCATGATTATCGAGCCCATTTATATACATCCTTTTATGGCTTCCCGTTCCATTCCGTTTTGTTTTCTTATTTTCGCTACCATGAAGGGTTCTTAACAGTAGGAAGAAGTATCTATAAAAAGAAAGAAAAATATGCTCAAATCAGAAGAAATATCTACAATAGTTGGTTTGGTTAATGTTTAATGCTCTCCTTCAACGACTAGTCTTTCATTTTGAATTGTTTCTTAAATTCACTGAACTTGACTCTACCAAGTGGTTTAATGAGAGTATATTTGCTATTTGAACTTCACATGCTTAATGCGTGAGATTCTCCAATAGTGTAAGATAGCAGAACAATGTGGCTTCACTAAATAATCCGCTTCCTAAAGCAAGTCTTCAATCAATTTCATCAACAAACTAATTTCTTGTGCTGCTGAAGCTACTGTTCTATATTACACTAGATTAAACATGTTAGTTGGATGTAAGATAGCATTTGCAAAAAGCAAACCGTTAACTTAATCAGAATAATGATAACCTCAAGGTATTGAAAATGTTTAAGATTACAAGTAGGAGGGTAAAATTCACACTTTTATTTAATCTTGGCCATAATGTAGATGGGGGCTTTATAGCTGAACATTCTCTGCTTGCATTGCTTTGATATTTTATCAGTGGCTGCAAGAAAAGGCAAGTGCAAACTCCTAAAAGAAAATGAAGACCCAGATTTTGCTAAGAACCCATACCAGGCCATTGTGATGGCCAGAGATTCCCTGAAGCAAAGAGAAGAAGCTACAAGAATGCAGGCTGAATTTCAGAAGCTGGATGATGAAGTGAGTGAGACGAGACTCAAGAATGAGGAGGAGAAGCTCGTAATTCAAGACCTGGAATTGGCACTCATAAAAAGCAGGAGGAAGGCAGAAAAGTGCAGGCGGTTAGCTGAGGCTCAATCTTCTTACAGAACCATGCTGGAGAAGATGATCAGGGACGCCATGCACCAGTAAGTTCCTTCTCTGCATTATCACAAATTACCTGAAAAGAACATCAATGTGAAGATTCATTCAAAACTATTTGAGAATGTGGTCAATACTTTAATTTGTAAGCGTTTGACAATTACCTTATGAAAATTGTTTGTTGCAGGAGTGTCATCTATAAGGAACAGGTCAGATTGAACCTGGCTGCAACTAATGCACTTATGGCTAGGTTAGAAGCTCAAAGGGCAATTTGTGATAATGCAGAGAAAGAACTTCACCGCAGGCATAAACAAAGAGATGAAATAGAGAAGCAGATAAGGCCTGAATGGGATCAAGGAAGGAAGAGAATAAGAATAGATGATGATTCCATCTTTGATGGAGAGAGAGAGAGTAAACCTGTTCTTTGCTTACCTGCAATCAGGCCAAGGACACCTTTGCACAAGGAGCTTAGAGTATTTTTGGAGGAGGAACAAAGAGCATCTGAAGCTGGTTTATCTGCAAATGAAGAACAAAATCAAGAAGAAAAGAATCAGGAATTGAAAATACCAACTGAGAAGCTTGAGGAGCCTAAAAGATCAAGTGTTGCCTTGGGGGAGGAAATCTCAATTGAGCAAAAACTTCAGAAGCTAAAAATCAAGGAAGGTAAGGAAAGTTGTGAGAGTTCATTTCCAGTTCTTCAAGAAACAGAAACTGAGGAAAATGAACATATCAGGCAGGAACGTGGCAAAGGGAATGTGGAGAAGTGGCTTCAAATTCTTTTAGAGAATAGCCAAGACATGGATCCATTAGAAACTCATGGAAATGAAACTACTGGGACTGAGGAAATAATCAGAGAAATAAATCAGAGGTACCCACAACAGGAGCTGAAAACCCCAAGAGTTTCAGAATATGAAAATAAAGAACAGCAACAGCAAGTTCCTCAAGACAAGAATGGTTGGGCAGATAAAGAAGATAGAATAGAAAGTGAAGCTGGTACAAATGTTATTCACACAGCAAACACTGAAGAAGAAGCTTGTGTAAGTGAAGAAAATGGCAATAAAAGTTTTGAGGAAATGGAAAGAAGGGAATGCAATAATAGAAAGGGAAAAAAGCTTGCAAGGTCGGAGAGTGCCAGAGCCTTTAGGCGAATCCCATCTTCTCCATCCTTGCTTCTAGGGATTAGAAAAGGCAAGGATTGCATTGGCAAGAGGCTGAATGTGAGTAGTGATGATGAGAATCATCACTCTGCAGCAAACAGCTTTATCAAGAAAGCAGCGAAAATTTGATTGACTACATGGAAAGCCGAAGAGAACATTCATGAAAATTGTTGATCAAGACCTTTTAGTTAACAACATTCTAAAAGCTTGGTAAATGATAGAGCACAGTAACATCGTGCAATTTATGTGGCCAACCTCACCTAATAGGATAAAACTTGTTGTTGTTATAAACTTGGCTTTATCTTTTATAAATTTTCTAGAAATTGAGAGTGATGCTAGTTGAATAAATTATTGTGTTGTAAAAAATTTAAGGAAAAAAAAACGAGAATAAGTGTGTAAAATGGAGGCATTCAATTGTTTGATTTGCGTATAACTGTTTCATGTTTAGTGTCAAATGTGTAAAAACAGCTTGTTTCTCTTTATTTCTACTTTCCTGCTTTGTTGCGTTGGCCCTTATATAGAAGCATATCAAAAAAGGTGGCATTAAGAATTATCTATTCATTTCTACATGCATTTGCCTTCAAACTCTTCTATTACAAGTAGAATTGATGAGACCCGACTATACGAAAACAATAAACCTATATGACGGTTTTTCTACCAATATATGATAAACACTAAAAGAAATTATCAAAATGTTACACTATGGAAAGTATTTATTCAAATACTACACCAAAAATCATTCAAGCCGAAAATGACTTCATGGCTATGACGAACTCGTTTAGGCCAAGAACAATTTTGTAATTGGAAATTGTTTTTTTTCATTCAATGCTTTTTTTTTATTAACATGACATTTTATTCATTATCAATTGCAAGAATATTTAGTTTCTTTTCTTGCTTTGCTTTTCCTGCATGATTCATTCAAGTATGGAATAGATGGTCACTTACAATTATTAATACTCCTCTAGCACTTGATGAGTTTAATAGAACATTTGAGTACATGCAATGGTATTGGAGACATACCCAACAATAGATCCATCGTATTAGTAGTGATACTAGATATGCAGAAAGTTTTTCACATTCTTCTACTAGTACTATCTTTTTTTCTTTACAAAAAAAGTGTTATAATAATGTCTATTTTTATTTTAGGCTGATATAGCAGATGAATTATATAGGCTAACAATTGATTCTCATTCAAAGTGCTCTCATTGCATTAATTATCAAGATAAGGTTGCTCAAAACCAATGCAATATCTTACTTGCAATTAAAGAATAATGATTTAACAAAGACCCTCAACTTGCTCCTGCTCTATCAAGAGTTAAGTTATCTCGTCCATAAATTTCTCAAGACAGACCAAGCAAACAATATGGTAGCTACTTGTTTACCCAACTACCAATTGAAAATGAAAATGTAAAGGAATAAGAACCTTAAAATTTTAGTCAATCTCATTACATGCTAGCCTTATCATTGTTATCACCCCTTTCGCCTCTCCCTATCCTATTTAGTTCAAGTCTCATTACATGTCACCCTTATCATCATCCCTTTTCAACTCACCTACTCCTACTCATTGCAACCCTTCTCATTACATACGTTGGTCTTGAGCAACCCTATCTCGGTAATCAATCCAATGTGAGCATTTTGAACTAGAATTAATCATTAGCCTGTATAACTCGTTTGCTATGTTAGCCTAAAATAAACAATAAGACATTAATTTATAGCACTTTTTTTATAAAGAAAAAAGATGGTACTAGTAGAAAAAGGTAAAAAACTTACCACATATCTAGTATCATTACTAATATGATGGATCTATCATCAGATATGTCTTCAATACCATTGTATGTACTTAGGTGTTCTATCAAACTCATTGAGTGTCGGAGGAGCATTAATAATAGTAAGTAGCTATCTATTTCATGCTTAAATGAATTACGTGAGAAAATCAAAGCAAGAAAGGAAAGTAAATATTCTCGCAATTAACAGTAAATAAAATGTTACATCAATTAAAAAAGATGAAATCATTCACCTATAAAAAGTGAACGATTTTACTTTCCATTGAACAAAAAATAATTTACAACTGTAAAACTGTTCTTGGCCTTAATGAGTGTTTCACAACCACAAAGTCGTTTTCAACTTGAACAATTTTTGGTGTAGTATTTAGGTAAGTAATTTTCATAGTGTAGCATTTTGATAGTTTATTTTATTGTTTATCGTATATTGATAAAAAAAACCCCATATGACATGCTGGTACTAAATTTCCCGAGTGTACTCAATTACCAAGGAAAAAGTGACACAATTCACTCTGCAGAAGAATGAACATTCATGCTGATTCAAGATATGTTTGGTGAACCAATATATTTCATTGAATGGCTATATAAGTGACACGCTGATACAAGATATGTTAATATTTTGAATAAATTTTAGTCGTTGTATATGGTAAACATGGACATCTTTAATCTTCTGCATATAAGAATAATCATACACCACCTATATAACTTGAGATATTAAACTACACTGCATTTTCTAAATAAATTTCCTCAGTGAAACCCCACAAATCTATTCTTGTAAAAATGCAGGGTACAAGTAATTTCAGATCTGTAGATTGATCAAAAAGAAGCGGGGGGGAGATCTGAAGAATTTTCCCCACGCGGTATGTTAAATATCTGATAGAGTTGAATTAATAAATCCTTATTGCGATCAAAAAAATATCCTTATTGATATAAATTTGGTGTGTGTGTGTGGCCGAAAAAGAAGTGTTAGAATGTTAAAAAAAATATAATTTTGAAATATGTTCTAATCAATGAATTATTATTTTTCTTAAAATATTTTACATAATGGATCATCAAATAATTTCTAAAAAATGTCATATAAATGGGGCAGAGAATACTAATTAATTAGGGATAAGAATAGGGAAGAATTACAAACAAGTCTCACAATGTGTTGTTATTCTTCTAAGCTCAGTTATCAATGAAGTTAGAATTAATTAATTATGTTAAGTGAGACTTTAGAACAATTCTCCCTAAGAATAAATAGATCAGTAGCAATGACTAATGGGTAATATGGCTGTGCCTGTTCATGGTAGTTAGAGGACTTTTTAGACACTCTGGGTGTACCAGCACATTTCTAACTTGTTGAATCATAATATATATTGGCTCATGTCAATTTAATATAAATTCTTTATATTCTTAAATGGGTTAAAGAGAAAAAATACCCAACAACATTTTTTTCAAAATCACCCAATATTCTTAAGTGAATAAATGTACATGAATATCCATAAACATGTTATAATGGGTACAACAATCTTCTCCAGTAAACTTGACTAATATCTTATGATATTTTAAAGTCAACAATGGTGCATGTGTAACCATTAGTTTTATAAAACAGGCCATTCTTTCCCAATTCATTACGTTTTATTTTTAAAATTTCATGATCGACGTTAAATAATTTTAATAGCTTGGGAAAAGTTAAAGATTGTAATTATTTCGGGTCAAACCCGATAGGCCAGCCTAAATATGTCTAAAAAAGTCTTAGAACTAACTTGGAAGTTTAGAAAATAATTTTTATTTCAAGCTTATTCAAGCGATTCGAATAAATTTGAAGAAATTTAGGCCAAGCCCAAATTTGAATGGGCTTAGCTCAAATACCATATTCATTTCATTATTAATAAAATAAAATAAAATAAAATTATATAAAAATTGAATATCATTATTTGTTAAGATAAAAAATGAAATTGACTGAAAAATAAAAAATTAAACTAAATAATATTTGACAATTCAAGTATTCAAATTAATCTAAATAAACCCAAAAGCTTAAATTGTTAGGGTTGAATTTGACTATATGACCTCTTTTGTAAAGTTAATAGGTATCAATGTACCATTATTAACTTAAGGATATTAAAAATTTCTAGAGAAAAGGTTCCTAGTATTTTTGCACTCTATGTTTGCCTCATTTTTTTAACGATTAATGTTAACAAATGTTAGTCAAATTTAATGAAATGGAGATTATTGCACTCATTATAACTAATATACCCCAACTCCAGAGGTTTGATTGTAGTTTAATAACCAAAGTATTCGTGTCATACCTTGACAAGAATAGTGATATATGTTATCCGAAAGCAACAATTATCAATTAAGAGAGAGAAAATGAGATAATAAATTGAAGCACTTAAAATAAATCAACAAAAAGAACTACATGGAGATTCACTTAATAATAAAGCGTTAGGGGTATGGTTCATCTATCAAGATGCCTTACTCTAACTCATTAAAACTAGTCCTGCTCAGTTAAAGTTACAACTGTTATAAGAGTGACTTAATTACCTTCTAGTATATTAAAATGTATTTCATTTTAATTAAATTAGCTTTCACTAATTCTAACCTTCTAATTGAACCAATAAACTATGGTTAAAGCTGCTATAAATTCTTAAATTATTCATAATCTAATTATTTATGATTACTTTTTTAGGTCTAAATTCACTCTTTTTCTTTTAGAATATCAAACAACCCCAGGAACAGAGAGTATATTGGCCACATACAAAATTTGAAATAAGCGCAAGGAAAACAAATATAATTGATTAAAATACTTAGATAGAGTTGTAAAACAATGGAGTTCGAGCAACAAGAATAAAAGATAAAGCAAGTAAAGAGTATAAACATTCTAGTCAAGCTACTCTCAATCTTTACTGGAAACTTAGAAGCCAAACATGTAAACAGCTACAACTATTTTTCGTTCAAAAAAAACAAAAAACAGCTATAACTATTTCCAAATCCTTCAAACAACAAGTATAGAGTAGAGAAGGATTATAGGAAATCACTCCCAGTTTAGATAAATCGCGCTCCCAAGCTTCGTGCTTAGCTATTTTATACGGATTGGCTCCAAGAGAATAAATGTCCCCTCTAAGTGTTTCTTAGTCTTCCTAATGTAATTTCAAATCCCAATGAGCCCGAAGCTGAAGCTTTGCATTTTGCCAAGTCAAATCCAACAGTTCACATTAATTTGAGTGAAATATGGACCCCCCACTTGTTTCTAAGCTTTTGACTACGGACGGCCATCCTCAGTATATTCTGGACTCGGTTTCGGTGTTCAGCACGGCAGTGTTTTTTTTTTTTTTTTAAATCACAAATTTATTATTAATTTATTATAATAATAAATAATTATTATAAAATTATTATTTTAATATTTAATAAACTAATAAATGTTAAGATGATAAAATTAAACTTGAATAGTTTATAAAAAATTTTTGATTTGAACATTAAGAATTATATTAAAAAAATAAAAATATTTAAATAATTTTAAATAAGAGTTAAATCTAATAAAATGAGCCAGTTCTTAAATGGATGTTTGAATTTTTATTAAAAAAATACTTATATTTAATACCTGACTATGTCTTGAATAATATTATTTCTCATAGATAAACAACTGTGCAAAATTAATAAAATAAAAAAATATTTTTAGTTATAATTTTAATTTTTTCAATACAGTTTTAAACTGTTCAAATTAAAATTTATATATAAGCTGTTCAAATCAAATTTTAATGAGCTAATCTGTTCATATTTAATGTTAACATCTTTTTATATTTATTTATTTATTAAATATTAAAATAATAATTTTATAATATTTATTTATTATTATAATAATAATTTTGTGGTTAAAAAAATAAAAAAAAAAAAACACACTGCCAAGCGGCAGTGTTTTGGTGCTTATCCTCGACAACAGGCGGTCGAGAGACGAGCAAGGCTTCTTTCCTTTCCTTCAATCCTAGGCGTCACCAACTTCTCCTTTGCCTTTTTTTTTTTTTTTTTGGACCTCGTTGACGGTGTTGCACCAGCGGGGACCTTCATACTCTCAACTGCGGGCAGTTGAGCACTTATAGGCCAAATATTGGGCCTTGATCCGAATCTTCTCATTTGCAACCCCCCCCCCCTATTTTTTTTTGGGTTTTCCCTTCCCATTCCTTAAATTTGCCCCATAAAACAGTCAGTGAGATATAGGATGAATCACTTTCTCCTTATTGTCATCAGTTAATTAGTAATTTTAGTCCTAAAAATCGTCCAAGAACCACGTAAATTATGGGTCATCAATAACAAGTTCATGAATATCTTGCACCTTTTTATTCACTTTAGAATATTCGACGCTTTTGGAAAAAAAGTTGTTGGATAATTTTTTTTCCCATTAACCTTTCTTTAATATACCAACTCTTGCTAATTTGAGCTAATGGTTTAATGTATACTTTTAGTCCTTTAATTTTATATAATATTTTACTTTAATCTCTTAATTTTATAAAGTATCTTTTTAATCATTTAACTTTAACACTGTTAGTTTTAAATAATTATTTTTGTACCAATAATTGTTATTTAGAAAAATTAAACTTAACATGTCAATATTTAAAAATATTTTATTAATATTTAAAGGTTGAATATAAAAAAAATTTGTGTATCAAACTAACAGTGTGAGACTTAAAAGACTAAAAAAAATACTTTACAATATTAAATGACTAAATTGAAACTTTATATAAAATTAAATAACTAAAAGTGCACTTTAACCTCCATTATATGTTATAATTTCTCTCCCATATAGTACCACCTCACATTAACTAATTACTTAATTTTTAGTATTTTAATATATTATTTTAAAATAAATTAATTATGACTGTCGTGTTTCTCATAGCTAGCTAGTTTCTCTCCTCCAGATTCCCCACTTTCCTTCATCAATTGATCAAACTTACTGTGTGTTTGTTTTCCCTGTTGAGTCAAGAAGAAATAATAAGCAAACTCTTTTCTTCTTTCTTTCTTTCTTCTCTTTCCCCCCTTTGCAATAAGAACAAGCATTTATGGTTACTTCCTTTATCAAAAATATGCACTTCAATTAAGAACTTGCATTGTACTTTCCCATTTAATTTGCATCTCCTGCAATTGATACAATGGAGATCACATCACCAGAAAGAGGGAATCACTTATCTTGGACCAAAACAAAATTCTTCTCATGATCTTATTTCTAAGTTGACATCAATCAGGAAGTCTAACACCAAACAAAATAAACTTACATATAATATATATATATATATATATATATATAGACTAGCTAGCTCACAACAAAAACAAAAAAGAAATCCGAAGTAATGCAAGCAGTTTTTATTCTCTCAGAGGCTGTGTTAATGTTTCAAGACATAGATTTCCTCCACTTGTGAGGAGTCCGAGGTTTGACGGACGATGATCTGGTTTTGATGTCCAAAGGAGTCTGTCTAATCTCAAACCCATCATCATCATGATCTTCTGCACGTTGAATGTTCTTGTCCACGGAATTAGAAGCCATCACATTCACAGTCTTACCAAACCCAGCAATCCCTAACTTCTTCCATGATCTGAACAAACCCTTATTCTTGTTCTTGTCCATCATCATCCTCTCCATCTGCACCTGCATCACACTGCACTGACTCTGAAGCCTATACACGTCTTCCTTCAGCTTCCTTATCTCCATCTGCTGCGCCTGCATCTCCCTCTTCGAGAATGACCTCACCGGCAAATCCCCGCCGTTCGGGCTTCTCATGCCGAAGGAGCCGCTCCAGTCCACGTGACGGGTCAGCTTTGTCTGCTCCGAGAACAGCACTTGGATCACAGCTCTCACAGGCAAGCGTTCGTTCTGAGCTGCGTGTAGTGACGCTTCTGGGGTTAGTTTCCTGCAATCTATTAGCTTGCACAGACCTTTCCTTTCTTGTTTCGATACCCTTGGATGTGCCTGTATACATATATGATCACACCACACAAATCATTCTCAGGATATAGAGATAGATATATCAGGGAATTGATACATTCACGAATCACTGCATCACTTTTCTGTGAATTGAACAAGATAACATGTTATCTTTTACTACTTTCTCTTTTTGTTACTCCTGCACGTGACGTTATACAATACTTCAAAGGGTGTCCATTAAATTGGTTTTAGTGCTAAGATTATCTGCTATGTTGGTAAGGCATGACAAAATTTTCAGTCATTTTTAAGTTTTTCTCAATTAACAATTTGATTCTTGAATTTAATATTCAACAATCAAGCCTTTAAAATTTAATTTATAACAATATAGAATTGATCTTTAACATTTAAAAAAAACTAATTATGTATCCTTATAAAACTTTAAGAATTTGATTGACAAATAATAAATTGGATAACATGAATTTACTTAACCTTATATATTTAATATATTTATATCCAATCAAATTATAACAGATAGATCTTAACATGTTAACAAAATTAATGATAAGAATTTATTGAATTGATAATTAAAATAAATTTAAATAATTAAAAGTTACATTATCCCTACTTATTATACATATAAATGGATATAAATACATTTAAGTCCAATTCCATGCATGATTATAGAAGTAATTCTCTCAATGTAATGTTATTTCATTTATTAGGTATAAAGGAGAAGTAAGTCCACTCAACTAAATCATCATGGAAGTCATCAAAAGGGTTAAGCCCTAAATATAAATAATAAGTAATGAAAATCGGAAAAGTAGTACTTAGCTAGCATGAAGGTAACATGGGATTGAGTTTCTATATGAATAAAACAGTAGCACCAACTTTTAGCTTTATCAAGGTGAGGACGAGGACGAGGACGAAGGAAAAGCCAATATGACAGGTTGTTCTATGATATCCCCACAGACATATAAATGACATTCATATTCATACCCTTGTGGTTATTAATTCTCCCTCTGTTTCGTACTCCATTTTCTACTCCAGAAATTCTTCTCTGATCAAGAGCAAGAATCTCGTGGTGGTGACAACACAAGTTACCTATATTCTTAATTATCTTTATTTTAATCAAAATATAAACAGTCCACCGCAAAAAAAAAAATGCCATTCTTTAATAAAACATTGCGTGAAGTTCAGTTTATTTGACCAAATTAAAATATATTCATATTTACAAAAATTTTAAAAGTTTTTTTTTCTAATTTAGTGAAAGTATAAAACTTATAAGACCTGTTTAACAAAAATAGTTATTTTTAAGAAACAATTTATTTATAAAAATTTAATAAAAAAATAGAAATGCACATTGATCCTTTAACTTTAATTTTATAAAGTATCTTTTTAATTCTCTAATCTTAACATCATTAATGTCAAATGATGATTTTTATGTTATATTTTAAAAAATTAATTTAATATGTTAGCATTTAAAATATTTTATTAATATTTAAAAGTTTAATGTTGGTATTTTTTTTTGGGGTTAATGAAACTTATAGCATTAAAGTTAGAAGACTAAAAAATATTTTATAAAATGAGGAGAAAAAAATGAAACTTAGTATGAAATTAAAGCACAAAATGTGTACTTTTGCTTTAAAAATAAAATTACAGTTATTATAAATATACTAAAAATATGCTTCATGAAGTTATTCATATGGAAGATTAAAATTAAAGTGATGATAAAACATACTTTAAGATAAGTGTCAATGGCTCTGTACAAGCCATCGTCTGTAGCTCTGGAATGTGGAGGGAGAGCTCCGGCGAGCGCAGCGAATTCCGACAAGCTTAGATTCGCATCCACGGCAGTTTCCGCCAGGTACGCATCCACTAATTTGGCTACCTTCATCAGAGCCACCCCACTCTTCCCTCCGTCAACGTCTAATCCCACAAATCTCTTCACCAACCTTATCACAAGCTCCACATCTAACAGCGTCTCACACGTGTGACTGAACGACGGTATCATTATCTCCTTCAAAGACGCCTGATCTAGCTGCCACGATATCCTCTTCTCCAGCTCTGATTTGTAATTCAGCTCCACGCCGACCATATTCGCCGTTCTCAGAAGTCGAAGCAGGAAATTGCAGGGGATTGAGTCCTTCTCCGGAGGTAGAACTCCGACGAGCGTTTCGACGAAGAATCGCTTCTTCATCCACGAGGCCGTCACGCTTTCCGGCGATTCTTGGAATTGAGTGAGGGAGGGTTTGTTGGAGACGACGTCGATGTTGCCGTCGGAGAGTTCGGGAAGCCATTTGGAGGCGTAGTGGATGATGATGGAGCCGATTAGGTCTGCACGCACGCCTTTTGCTTTAATGCCTGAGAGGGTTTTGACGAAGTAGTCCATGTCCAATATGCATGCGTCGTCGAACCAGCATTCCGACGAGAAATGTGACGGCGATTTTGCTATCATGGGCTGTTCAGGCTGAGACTGCTTGTTCCTTTCACTGAACATGGCGGAGCAGAGTCGTCACTCTCTCTGGTTCTTAGTTGTTGTTCTGCTTTTTGTGAGCGTCGTGTACATATATAACTATACTTCGCTGTTCTCAATGTAAGGGAATGTAAACGTCATTAAAAGTATCCTATTGGGGGCCAAAAAAAAAAAAAAAAAGCTCAAAACTCAAATGTGTTTAGGTGAAATAATTAGTGAGAAATGAGAAATGTTTTCTCAAAAATAAAGGCAACGTAACAATGGGATAACCAATGAATGTTGGTTGAATTGGTGAGAATCCAACTCATTATAGTCCTTTTTCCTTTTAGGTTTATTCCTTTTATTCTATTTACAAGGTAAAAATAGAATATTTGTTTTGATCTTATTTATAAGACAGTTCAATACTATATTTTTAATAGAGATAAAATTAAAAAATTAAAAATTTATTAATTTTATAGATAAAGTTAATGAAATTTAAAATTTTTTTTAATTTCAGTGAAAATACTCGAAGTTACTTATATAAAATATTTTTAATTAATTTACACCTTTCCATACGTTAGCTCATATTATTTAAAATTATATATTATTTTTATATTTATCTTTATTTAATGATATGTCTCAATTAAAGGCACCTTTTTTAAAAAAAATTATTAATTACACCTTAAAAAATCTAATACTTTTAAAATGATAGTTTAGAAAAAGGGTGAATATTACTTTTTAACCAAATGATAGAAATTGTGTGAAAATTAGTTAAACTAGTTATTACTAATAAATGAGTTAATTTTTTCAACAGTGAAATATATGTGTCAATATTATGTGTTTAATATAAAATTGTGCGTAACATTTAATGTGATATCTTAACTAATAAATGACCTGTTGAAGAGAATGATATATACTACTTCTTGTCTTATTTATAGATAACTTTCAATATTTTGCTAGAATTAAAACATGTTAAACCTCATTAATTGCCTAAAAAATCAACAAGTTTTAAATTTTACCTTTAATAAATATACGTACTTCAAATACCTTAAAATTTTTAACATTTAATAGGGACAAAATGATAAAGATGAATGTAATAATTATTGATGTGCTTTATAAATAAATTAAAACAAATATTATCTCTCTCTATATCCTATAAATCGGACCAAAGTAGTAGATTGATATACAAAAATGTAATTGAAAATTAATTTCCATTTAATAGGAAAAAGTGAGCATTAATTAAAGATTTTTTTAGTGGGAATAAATTAAATGTTGATTGAAAGTATTAGTTCAAATCTACTTCCACTGTGAAGATCTCATTAGTATATAATAATATGTAAATACTTTGTAAATGATGATGATTGAATGGTGAGGCCTTTTTTATTTTTATGAGTTATTAGGACTCAAAAACAAAAGTAAATGAATGTGGGAACAATTTGGAGAGAGGGCCACATACTTTGTATGAAGAAGCCAAAATTGCTCACATATATAATATATACCATCCCCATGAAGAAGAACAAAATTAACAATTAATGACACATAGCAACATGAAAATGACTAGGAAACACACACACCTTTCTTCTCTCCTTATCTCATGCATTGCGTAAAGGAATTGGATTTTTTCTGTTTGCTTCTTCATATTACCATTCCAAGCCATCCAAATAGGATAAAACTTACTGTTTTTCTATCCGTTACTTTGTTCCCATCCCTGTATTAATTATTACACAACGTATATATATATATATAGAGAGAGAGAGAGAGAGCTTGGAGATGAATTCTTGTTGTTTGGTAACAGTAAAAGTTTCTGAAGTGGGAATAAAAAAAAAACAGAGAAGAGACGATTTTAATTTTAATGTCATATGAAATGCCAAAATGAGGGCGCTGCATGTGTGACAATTGACCACCATGCGCTCTCGGGAACATGCCCATCATTTGTTCGTTTTGAAACAGACGACTGCTTCTCTTAGCACAGTGGGCCCACTGCATTTATTAAAATATTCTATCCAGCCCACTATGTTGTTCAGGCCGAAAGCGATTGGGAATCATTCCACTGGGCTACATGGGCCAAGTAAGATTTTATTTGGGCTTCGTTTTGTCATGGTTCCTAGGGATGTCCTGTCATGACAGCCCAGGCCTAAAGAAGAATTTGGTTATTCAGCCCAACTCAGGAGAAACTTGGAATCATCCACGTAGAAAAGTTCGTTAGTAAGTTTTGTTTCCAATATTCAACAGGGAGAGTCGTTATCACATTGTCTGTTCACAGACAATGGCTCCCAGATATCTCAGCTGTGTCTTTCGTGATTTAATTTAACACGATTACATATTTCGTAACTCAAATTTGAGATTTTATATTCCTTAACAAATTTTCATTTTGTTTTCTTTTAAGAAATAATTTTAAAAATTGTATTACAAAATAACTTTTTAAAACAAGAAAATGGGAACACGACACAATCAAACAGGCCCAAAAACTCATCACTTTGCATAAATGAATAAAAATTTGATGCAGCCCTTTTACGTCTCCAATTGAAAGACATGCACAGCAGGAGTAAATTTTTTTTCTTTTTGTTCTTTTTTAAGTACAAAACCATTTCATTTGGTGAATCCAAGGGAGATTAGGACGAGCTTGTTTTACCTTGCAAACCCTCAAAGGGTTAATGTCACTGCATAAACACAGCAGAATAAATCAGATATGGATGCAAATTCTTCCTTTGACTAAGAATAATTGTGACTCCACAAAACAGGATAAGCCGACTTATACATGTGAGGCAAAAAAATTTAAAGCGCTCCGAAGAGTCAACAAACTAACTTATTCTATAAGCATAGTATCAACCTACAATAAATAAATAGTTTTAACCTAAACTGATCAAAGTTCTTCCTCTTCTTTCTGCTTCACATTTTTGCAGAAAGGAATGTATCTAAATGTTGCGAGTAGTTGGTGTTTCAGATGGAATGCTCGCTGAGTCGCTCAGTGGCTGCGATCCGCTTCCAAGAGAACCATTCCCGGATTCATTTTCAGCCACCACTGGTATCTTAACTGCTGCCCTTTCCATCTCTTTCTCGAGCTCTTCCTCACGGCGCAATGCAGTGAACTGCGCATCCAAGGACTTGGCTGCTCCTAACCAGGCAAGAACAATCACAAGAAGCACCCCTCCCAGATATGGAGTCGAATTTGCAAGGGACCCGAAAGTCAAGATCATAAATTGCTGAATCAGTGCACCCCCAGATTTCCCCAAGGGATTGCAAACAACATCAATGGCTGCCTTTCCTTTAACCTACAGCAATGAGCAAGCATGTCAAGACCAACAAGAAGAAGAAGTCTTATCAAGCATGTCAGGACCAATGAAGATAAATTCAGATTAAGTGCATGCTGGATTTCAACATGATCAAAATATTATCCAATTGCCATCAGATAACACTGCACATATTTACAGCAGTACATGACTTCTTTCCACTTCAATCTCAGGAAGGCAAAATTCAGTTAAGTTCCTTGAATTTAGGTATGCTTTACCATGTGAACACTTTTTACAGCTCAACATCACATTCTTGATTCTTCCAAAGGAAATTATGCCATGTGATATGCTTTCATTAAAAAAGCTAAAAGTAAACAACAAAGAATTGAACCTAAGTGTTTCCTTATCAGGCACTGCAGCTTGAAAAAAGTTCATTTGTATTTGGTTTTAAGAATGATTTAGAAGAAGAGAGAGAGGTCCAAACCTTGGTATCCTCATCCAAGGGTATGTAGGCCATTTCCTTGCAGGGATCAAATAAGCTGTACTTGGCACTCTTGCTGAAAATGTTCTGCATAGCACCAACATACACAGCTGCAAGAAGAGGAGTCATTCCGAATTGTGCAAGGGCTGGCGCAAGTGGAGCCCCAAAGAGTATGAGAGAAAAGAATCCAACTCCTGTCAGAAGCAGGACTGTGGGTGTGATCTTTGCAGCCACTCCCCATCCATATTTGTTGAAGATAAATTGGCTAAGAAGCATCATCGTGAATGTCATGATTCCCGTCGCGGTTGAGAAGTCACCCATAAAAGAAGAGTATTCATTTGGACTAGGGAACTGCAGAATTTTTGAAGGGAAGAGAAAGAAATGGCATGGTCAAATTGTCAGTTATAAACAAAAGACAAGACAAAAATAAATCATTTGACATTGGAAAATCTTTAAGTTCCTCATGTGTTTGCCGCAAATTTTCAGATAGTATCATGACTTGAGAAAAAACTCTCCTTGTCATTCTTTTATTTGATATCCTGATAGCAAACATCCAAAAAGACATTGCACTGAAGTCTTGTCCTTTGATATTTACCTGGGCTTTGAGCTTTGATTTCCATGTAACCTCAACAAGGTTAATGCTGATTCCATAAGCAACCACCAAGGTTGCAAGATCTCTAACGTATTTTGAAGACACCAAGAACTTCAAGCTCTCCATTGTCCCCATTCTGACCTTCTCCTGTATTGATAAAATGTAGGGGGAAGCTTCAGTTAACTTATTTCAGATCAAGTAATATGTTTCATGATTTATATAAAACCAAAAGGAGACAGAGAAGTATAAACCAAACACCCACGATTCAACCACCAAGGGCATGCAAATAACTAAAAGAAATTGCGTCTGTGCATGCTTGCGATTGTGTACGTGTGTATATGAGAGGTTTTTTTTTTTTTTTTTTTTTGTTGCACCAATTTAACAGCGAAGGATAGATAGATAACAAGCGTATTGCCATCTAATTTTTCTTTATAAGACTAAAGTGAATAAAAATAACAATATTGCAGCCTTATATAAAAGTACCTTCTTCTTCTTGCTTCTTGTAGGAAGAGGAACATATCTATTCACCCACCAGTACAAGAGACAAATTGCACCACCCAGAAGCACCACAATGCTCATCATCCCTTTTAAAGATATGGCCCAACCATCAACTCCAGGACCTAAGTTCTGCCTCAGATTAGAGAAGTATTTCACTGTCCGACCAGAGAATATAAGGGCAACATTAGCTCCTAATCCAAACAAAGGATAGAAACGTTTTGCTTCCTCAACGGTAGTTATCTGCAGAAACAGCCACGTTCACTTACATTATCCAATCAGCAAAACCAGGTACAAACCCCCAACAACAACAATTCTTATCCCACAAGTTGCTGTATGGATTGCACGATGTTGTTGTATTCTATCATCAACCAAGCTCTTAGGAATGTTGTTAACCAGGTACAAACCCCCAAGATAGACAAAAAAATTAGCAATGAAGATATGTAGGATTTGAAAAACTGACATGTTAACTACTGGCAAGATTGGCCAAAACAACACAACTAGCAAGAAAAATCTAACGTGAGTACTGTTCTTGCTAAAAGATTCAAGACAAGTCATCTGACAATCTTTTCATTCAGCTAAGAAGTTGATAGATGTAACACATGAGAAAAGAAAAACCAGAACTCAAAGCTACCACAAAGTCCCATACCATTTTTTCTCTATATTGAAATGTCACTTATAATGCTTGTTTTCCATTTATACTTTCAGGTTGAAAAAGGCACTATAGTCCTTGGTGAAGAAGACAAAATATGAATTGATGTTAAAATAAGGAATCATCTTTACAATAAATACCCATATTTCAGCAGCCAAAAGGAGGGGGCTTAAAATTTATGGCACAATATATAAGGCATAAATTAAATAGTTTGATTAGGGAGGATGATATATATTTTGAAAATAATAAAACACCTTGCACAAAGATTGGCCAACTTCAATGCAGCAACATGTAGCTAAGTTTTTCTTCATATGCTCTGTCAAGTCTTAACAAACAATAGAAATTTGAATAATGTTAACTCTATGATAGGAACCAGAACATCCTTTAAGAAACACAAAATCATCCTTAAAAGAACAAAACTGACCCTGAAAACTGTGTAACAGATAAGGATCGCTGCTAGGAAAGTAGAGAACTGTTCAAAGATATTATAAAATAAATCACCGTATAAGACAATCCACAGAATCTGACCAGCCAGCGCAGGAAAGCTGATTTAACTAAATGAACATTCAAACAAGAAGAAAATAAATTAAAATTAAAAATGTGGACAGATGCCAAAAGGAATCGACAAAAAGTAAAACGATTCATTTAGCCAATGATGATGGCAAACTTCGTCAACAGTTCAGCCAACCAGTTTCATTGAAGAGAAGTCTAGTTCAAAACAGCAGGAAGCAGAATATGCTGAGGTGGGATATCATACATAACCAGAAACTAAATCATAATTTGATACCAAATATGCTGTTTTTAGACAATCAAGATAAAACACCAATACACAAAGTCAGTTAAAGAGATGAATATACCTGATTGGCAAACCCCCAAAAGAGCACTGAAATCACCACACTCCCCCATAATTCAGCCATGACATAGAACAAACAAAAGCTCCAGATTCTCATAATAGCAAGCGGACCAAGGAACCTAGGTCCAAGGATGTTAAGAAGCTTATCTGCGAATGCTTGAGGATGGATATAGTTGCTAAGAGGGTATAGAACGAATCCAAACGCCCCAAAGAAGGCGATGAAGGGGAGAATAACGGAGTAGAACAGAGCTTGTTTGGGCAGAACATCAGCCAATTTTGTGTATAACAACATAAACCCAACAGCCATAGGGAGATTTACCCAAGTTTTCAGGAAAGGTATAATCTCTGCACTACTTCCTCTGGCTGTCACAACCAGCACGTCCTTTGTATCTCTGAGGATTGTGTAGTTGAAGAGGATACAAAAGAACATCATCCCAAGCGGTATAATCTTCTTGAGGGTAGCAACCTCAATACCCAAGAATTTTGGCTTATCAATTTCGATTTCGCCGTATAGGGGCTGCCCATCAGCAGCAGCAGCAGCTTCAGCCTTGCAGATGAACAAATTTCTATCCTTTTGGATAAAGCCATTAGGTTTTGAGGAAAAGCCATGAAATTTCTGGAACCCATTGGTTGACAGAGAAGACCCACCAAGGATTTTGGGTTTTGGAGAGAAAAATCTTTGCCTTAAGCCCTGTGATGGCTGTAGAACCCTATTTCTGGGGTTGGTAGGCAGAGAGAGAAGCCCTCTCGTCTGAAGAACAGCGTCCATGTCTCCCTCTTAGGTCCCTTGAAGAAAAACCAATAATATGGTACTTCAAGAAGAGAGCATGAAGAGAGACACGGATAAGAAGGGTAAGAAGAGAAGGAAAGATAAGATGCCTGAATGGAGATTGGAGACGATGGTTTTCTCAAAGGAAGGAAGGAAATCAGCAAATATCGATCCCTTTATACCCGGGTTTGGCACAAAATAACAAATAGTGAAATATCAATTTTTTTGTAAAAGAGCCGCAACAGCGGCTAGGTTAAACTCGATCTGTTGACCACAGCACGGACAAATTTTCTCTCATATGAAATTCATTCCCCAAAGCAAGGCTCTGAATGAGAGCGAAATGCTAAACCAAGTGAAAGTATACTATACTTTGCTATAATTAGTTCCTCATTATCATATTTGTTTCTGGAAATGATGAGTCATGAATGTATGGATGAAACATCCCATGCCAGAAACGGCGATTATTAAAAAGAGCATCGTGTGGTGATTACGAAATCATACGGTGATTAAGAAATCTAAAATGATAGAATCGGTCCAAATTAAATAAAAACAAGGAGGGAGAGTTGGGGGTCATGAAAAGAGCATCCCGAAGGATCTCTGTTTCCCAAAATCTCCTTGACAAAGATCCAATTCCCAAATGCCACTTGAGATTTTTTTTTTTTTTTTTGAAACTCGCGATCACAAGATTCACAGCACAGCCTTGAAAGGTACATTTGCGATTGAAAACCTTGGAACGTGAACATATATAAACTCTTGGCTGTATGATCAAATACCTTGGCTGGCCCAACTAGAAAGGCAGGAATGCACTTTGCAAATTGCAAGCACAATTTGTCAACTCCCACTACAGTCCTTGTTCGCTGCAAAACTTGATAATTTATCTTTAAATTAATAATAGTTTGTAAATATTGGTTAGATAATTACAAATAAAAATTTAGTTACAGAATTACATTTAAAACTTAAGTACTTATATATAATTAAAACTTTTGAATTTACAGTTATATGAATTGATATTTTTGACTCATTTTAAAAAAAAAATTGTCAGGCGTGGATTAAGCTGAGTTCACCAATTGAGCCAAGTACTCCTCAATTTTTTATGAAGAATCTAATTGATATCAATTCAATATTTTAGGATCTAATTATTATTTTTTCTCTATTTTTAATTAGATCATTTTTGTCAAGAATTTTACCTTATTTCTCTAAATTTAAAAAAATTATTCAACTGCTGTTTATTTCCAGACAAAATTATTCAAATGTTTGTTTCTCTCTAGCACTGTGAAATCAAGAGGCTTCATAAAATAAGTGTTGACATATCTGGGTTATTTAATTTTAATAGCCTCAGATTAATTTAAATTTCCTTGTTGCTATACTATTTTACCATGGCTTATCATGTTTTGAAAATAAGAGATGTAGATTGAGTTGTCCGAGAGAAGGAAGCAACGTAACTGGGTGATTTTTGTAAGGAATTAAACTTAAACATGATGAAATTCAGAAATAAATTAAAAAATGGAAGTCATTGAGATAGATTTGATAAAAGTAAGAGATGAAAATAAAATAAAAAATAAATTTGACAAAATAATCATTTCATGAAGTATATTGTAATGGAACAAAATTAATAATTAATAAATAAAAATATGGAATTTTTTTTACCGATAAATAAAAATATAGACTGAAGCACAATGAAATAAAAAAATAAAAATAATCAACATCACCATAAAGTATAGACAGTACAGGTAGTCCGATTCTCTACCTATAAATAGTACTGTGATATATTTTGGATTTCACGCGACATGTTCTAATTTGTGTAGAGTAAATATATTATAATAAAATATAGAAGGATTCACAGTCAAATTACTAGGATTTGTTATTTATTTAAACTTTTACAAGTCCTGCAAGGCATTGATGTAGTGATAAAAATAAAATTTATTTTGTTGTATTCCATTGAGATTTGAGAATATAAGGGGAAAAAAATTCTATGTGCATTGGCGGCTTTTCAATCAATTAATTAATTGTGGGTGTGAGGCCAAATTGCTAAGTAGACCAATAAAAACGTGTGCTTTGTTAGGTTTGAATGGGAGAAAAACGTGTGTTCCTAATTGGTCGTCACCTAAATAAGCTACTTTTTTTGCTTCTTCTTCTTCTTGGAATTTTCCTTCACATTTCTGCAATTCTCGTCAAAGAATTCCTATCTTTCGATCATGAAAATGGCGTTATATTTTTTTCCAATTTCTTAATGTAGAATAAAACAGCAGAAAACAAATACCACAGCTAATTATTTTATTTTTAAAGACTATTTAATCGGATCATATTTAAACATAGTCGATTTTTAATTGGGGATAACTGGCCCACGAATGCTTTTTACTAGGGTTATATAAAAGTCCTTCAGTCTTGTCTAACCCAGTTTGACCCATGACAGTCCAATCCTATTTGGTCTGTATAAATACTAGTCCTTCAGGATTAAAAAGATCAGACTATTTCTTCAATTTGGACTGGATAGGAGATTGGGCATCTGAATTACTTGATCCAATTCGGTCCTATTAATTTATTTAATATGATTGTAATTAATTTATTTTTGACAAACATTTCAAGTGTAATTGATGCTAAGGAGATGATTGCATAAAGATTTATTGAGTTTGTTTCTAAATTGTTGTTGTAATGTAGTGTTGTTGAAATCTGTTGAATGTTATTTTTGTTTAAGTTATAAATTTAAATTATTTAGACTATAATTGAAATATTTTTTTCTTCTTATTAAAAATTATTATGGATTTGTTATAATTATGAGTGTTTTTATTATCTTAATTGAATTTATTAAATTGAAATGAATTATTGCCTCTCGCAAAAAAAAAAAGAACAAAGAAGCTAAGTGAATACTAGACTAACAGGACCAGTGTTAACCTCTAGAAGTTCATGTTATTTCATCATATTTTTCTTAGATTCTAGTCCATTTTAGTTTATTTGTATATGTTTTTATTGCCCAATTTAAGAAAATGTGCATTTTGTTTTAGGCTTGTGTTCTTGGCTTTAATTTGATATTTTTAGCCTAATTTCATGTTATTTTGATTGAAGTTTTGATTAGAAGCATTTTTGGAGCTTTGTGGATGTCTTTGGAAGGCTTTTGGATGAAGAAATTAAGAGCAAAATGAATGATTTTCGTTAGCTGTAAAAACAGTGCAAAACTGCTAAAGTCGTCCCAAAGTCGTGACTTTCGTTCGCGACTTTCACTGCTGTCAGAAAAATGCTGCGTTTCATTTATCAGAAATTAGTTGGCTAGGATACATATAAGCTGAGAGCTCGACCCAGAACGGATTATTCAGACTTTTAGACACTTTTGAAGCTTGGTTGTGCTAGGGTTTGGGCATTAGAAGAGTTGAGATCAAGAGATTGAAGTTTTGAAGACATTTGGAGCTCATTTTCTTTGGTTTTTCTATTCCTCTTCCCTTTCCTCTCTTGTAATCTGAAATGGGTCCACTTATTTTGTATATTTGTAGCTTGTGAATGATTATGAGTAGCTAAACCCTTTGTTCTAGGATTATTTGGAACCCTTGTATGGATTAACACTATATTTCTCCTCTCTTTTTGTGATTAATGATATATATGTGTTTATTTTACTCTTTCCTTAATGCTTCTACTTTATTGGCCACCATTTAGATGTTGGGTTCACTTAATTGATGCTTGAGAGGGCTAGGTTGAGTGTAGAATTTGGGTAAAATTGTGTAAGAACTTGATATTTGCATGTTGAATGAATGGTTTTGCTAGGAAGATAGAGATATACTTGCTAACCTTACATAGCCACATCAGGGTTGGTGTTTAAAATTGAGTTTTATTAATTGTAACAAGAGATTGTGCAATCAATTTAACTAAACACTTGTTCATGACTTGAGAGAGCTTGTCCAAGTATTTTTTGAACCCTAAGTTAGCACTTATTTTCATTAAAAGCATTTATGAGAGAAGGTAATTTTGGTGTTATGAAATGTAAGGGGGACAATTAATCCTAGGTCCTAAATTGTGTTGGAAGTTTGTGAATCGCTCACTTTTCTTTATTTTCTAGAGTTAATTTTATTTGCAAAATCACTTTCACCTAACTTTATGTAGCTCAACTTGATTAAATTTACTTAGTCTTTTCCTCCATCATTGTTTTTGAACAAATCCTCGAGGGAACGATACTTTACTTTCATTATATTACTTGCTACGATCCGTACATTTGCGGTGAGCAACAACCAGTCTTCCAATCCTATGAACCAAGTTCAATTCTGCTAAAATTTGAGTTATCACTAGACAAGATTGAATTATAGGTTGCCTAACCTAATCTTTTTCATGAAGGAGATGGAACTTTCAATTAGGTTGAAATTCAGTGTCGTTCAGTCCTTTGTGTAGCCCTACTTTTTACATTCATATGGATTTATTGAATTTAAGATCTTATATTTAAGTTGTCAATGTCTCTTAAATCAAACCGCATATTCATATTTGGCTGATCAAGTGTGTGTTTGGTTTTCAATTTATTAAAAGTCAATTTGCTGAAAGTTCATGTGGTAAAATCAGTCTAGTAAAAGTCAATTATTATAACGGAATTTATATTTGAATATATTTTTTAAAAAGTCAATTTGATAAATTAAAAGTTTTTTGGATTATAATAATAAAATATATTTTTGAATGCATAATTATTAAAAAGGATATTGATTTATGATGACTTATAATTTTTTGTTATATAATGTAATATATTAGAGAGTTCAAAAAATGTAATAACAATTTTAAATAATATAAAATTTAACATCCTAAATAATAATAATATAAATTTAGATATATTGAAAAATATTATTATTATGTTATAACCATATTTAAAATTCCCCACAAAAATTTTGCCAATTAATTTTTATATGCAAAAGTAATTTTTATAAAGAAAAATTGATCTTTTAGTTCTCCAACTTTTAATTTATTTAGAACTCAGTCCCTCAACTATGACTTGCTGTAACTCAGTCCCTCAGCTATGACTCGTCTATGACTCAGTCCCTCAACTTTTAAATCACTTATAAATTAGTCCCTGAACTTTTATTAATTTTCTTTTCATGTTAACTTATATCTCACATTAATGAGCAAGAGGAGAGTATTTTAGAATAATATATGAATATTTTTTATCTCTCTTACTTGATAAGAAATTTTTTTAAAAATAAAAAAATAAGGACTGAATTATAGGTGAATCAAAAGTTGAAAGACTGAATC